TTCTTAAAAGAGTACTTTGTTTGAAACCAGAAAATTTCCAGCTTGGTGCGACACTACTTGAAAAAATCATATCTCGAGCTTCGTAAGTCCAAATTTTGGAAACTTTATACCGTTGAAAACTAGTCTCAATGCACTAAAATTCTAGAAGACACTTTTCTCATAATCCCATTCAAAAGCATTCAAATTGTAGCTCAAAGTCACTGTTCCAGACAGGACAGAACAAAACAGGCTTGCAAATTCAGTAAATTTTGGAAATTTGGAAAAATTCATAGAAATAGAATCCACTCTTGAAATTTACATAAATAATATAAATTCAAATCTAGTTTCAAATGCAACAAATGGAATTCAATTCGGACCTTTCTACACCAAGATACAACAGTTCTAAGAAAGCTAATTTTTGGAATCTGTTTCACGGAATTTCCAGTTTTGAAGTACTTGACAGGGTTTCAAAATCTGGTCTTAACTAAAGTTACACAGCTCAAAATTTAGCATGGTTTGTGGCATTGAAAACTAGATTCAAAATTCTAAAATTCACTAGAAGAAACTATCTTAAAATTCGTTTGGAAAGATAGGTAAAAATGAGCTACAAGCTGCAGCTACACTTGTTTCTCGGATGAAAACAGTGAGGAAAATCAGTCATTTTTGCCGGTTCACTACGGCTTATAGGAAACGAATTAGGAGGTGCATTTTATACTGATAGAAAGTTCTCGGAGTCTAGTTTCAGATGCCACAAACAATACCTAATTTGAACTCCCAGACAACAAGTTATGGGCCAAAATGTGAACATTGGTCGAGTCTCCTAATCAAAAAATTTTCCAGATTTCTTCCTCACTTTAACCCCACTGTAACTCTACCAATTGTAAAGCTTTTTGGGAGATATTTGACACACGTAAACACCATCATATAAAAATCATTATAGCACCAAAATAACATCAAAATTTGAAATTAACACGAGAGATTCATCCAGCCAAAATTTGGATAGCAAGCATCCTTCATCTTCTAGTTTTCTTTTCTAACTTTCCAACTAAAACTAAGCCATATCTTCTCAAAATAAGCATCAAACCAACAAGTAAACATACAAAATCCTCAAGACCTCTACCTATAAAGTCACCTCAAGTTCTCTACCTAGTGTCAAGGTTCTTATGAATCCATCAACAACCCAAAGATTAACTAGATATAACCACTAACTACTATAAGTTGAAAGGAAAATATGAGGGCTTTGGATGATTACCTTGCTTCCAAGAGAGGTAGATCAACCACTAGTGTATAAGCTCCTAAACCACCAAAGTTCCTTCCTCCTTCAAGTCACCCTTCAAGCTTGTGTGATGAACCAAGAAAAGGAGCAAGTTTGAAGTGTTTTCTTGTAGCAAAATGGAAGACAAGCTAGCTGAAATTTTGAGGAGAAATGGGTGAAGGGGAAGTCGGCCAAGGGGAGAGGAGGAAGAAAGGGTTTCGGGTGGTAATTGGTGATTTGATTGAGTGACAAGAAAAATGACATAAAAGTGTTCTTGGTGCCCAAAAGTTAACAATCAATTAGTGAGCAATTAGTGCTCCTAATTGAGTTTAATTTAACTCACTCACCTCTAATCCCGCCATTAACTTTTCTTAGTCTACTATTGATCATTCTTAATTCTCCAAGATTATTGCACTCTTGGACCAAATTTACCTCGAAAAATGTGTAGTCGCTATTTCTTACTAAACGAGTCGGAGAAAAATTAATTTTACTAGCAAAACGTTTTAAAACATAAAATGAGACATTGTTCCATGCAAATAAAATTAAAATGGATGAAATAAACTAATTGGAGAAAACGGATAATTAAATAATTAAATAAACTAGTAAAATAAAATAAAAATAAGTAAAAATTTGGGTCCTCACAAATGGGGCTAAGTTATGAGATATGTTACAAGAAGGGAAAAGAAAATGTGGTAGCAGATGCTCTCTCCAGAAAGGGAAGGGAGGAGGCGCTGAGTGTACAGTGACTACCACAGTGATACCAGAGTGGATGAAGGAGGTAATGGAGAGCTACTAGGGTGATGACTGGGCTCAAGACCTCATCAGAGGAATCCTAGCATCTCTAGGACAGAGCTCAGATTACAACTACCAGAGCGGAATACTGAGATACAAAGGGAGACTTGTAGTAGGACAAGGGGATGAAATAAGGAAGAAACTCATTTCTGGCCTTCATGATTCACAACTAGGAGGGCATTCAGGCATACAGGTCAGTTGGATGAGGGCTAAACAACTATTCCATTGGCCAGGTATGTTCAAGGAAATCAAGACAGCAGTACTACAGTGTGATACATGCAGGAAATGTAAGGATAAACGTGTTGCTTATCCAGGTCTACTCCAACCCCTCCCTATACCACAATACTCTTGGAGTCATGTCACCATGGATTTTATTGAAGGATTGCCTAAATCAGAAGGGAGAGATACTATCCTGGTTGTGGTAGACAGGTTTACTAAGTATGCTCACTTCATGAGTTTGTCTCACCCTTTTGATGCTCCTAAGGTAGCCAGAGTTTTCCTGGACCATGTCAGTAAGCCACATGGCATACCTCAGAGTATGATCTTAGACAAAAATAAGATCTTTATCAACCAGTTCTGGACTGAGTTATTCACACTACTGGGGGCAGGACTGAACCTGAGCACAGCTTACCACCCCTAGATAGATGGTCAAACTAAAAGGGTAAACCAGGTGTTGGAAATGTATCTCAGGTGTATGACTCACCTGAAACCTAAGAGGTGGAACTCATGGCTATCCTTAGCTGAGTGGTGGTATAATACTACCTACCACACTGCTGTACAAATGAGTCCATTCAAGGCTTTGCATGGAACTAAACCCCCCCCCAGCTAGCCTTTGGCCCCTATATGCAAGCTAAAGTGGCAATAGTGGAAGACTGCATGAGAGACAGGAAGAAAATGGATGAACTATTGCAATATAACCTGAAGGCTGCTTAGGAGAGGATGAAGAAATATGCTGATGAGCACAGGAGTGAAAGGGAGTTCCAAGTAGGAGATTGGGTTTACTTGCGATTACAACCTTACAGACAATCAACTGTGATGATCAGGAACAATACCAAGCTATCTGCTAAGTACTTTGGCCCCTACCTGATAGAAGAGAAGATTGGAAAGGTGGCCTACAGGGTCAGACTGCCTGCTGCATCAAAGATACACCCTATATTTCATGTATCTTTGCTGAAGAAGAAACTAGGAGACAAGGCAACCCCTATCCTGCAACTGCCAGACACGGATGAAAGGGGGCAGATTAGAGTGGAGCCAGTGGCATTACTAGGCAGGAGGATGATTAAGAGAAAGAATGCTCCTGTAACTCAATGGCTAATTCAATGGTGGAGAATTGAACCTGCAGAAGCAACTTGGGAGGATGTTGTGATGATAAGGGAGAAGTTTCCTCAATTCCAATCTTGAGGACAAGATTCTTGCGAGGAGGAGGCATTGTAATGCAGTAAGAGAGCTGGACTGAAGTTGAAGGCACAAGCTAGGAAGCAGGAACGAAGAAGGCGTGAATATCAGAAGCTGAAAGTGTGATCATTGAGTAGGAGGATCACCAAAGGCGTGCTCTCAAAATCACGCCTTTTCTGGGTTTCATCTGTTCTAACAGAAGCCAAGAATCGCAACTTGCAGCTGCAATTGGACACGTGTTTAATTCTGATTGGTTTAGTTAGTAGTTTGTTAGAAATCGATAGCATTATAAGCGGGCCTGTCTGCTTCATTTTAGTCAGCTTTTTAGATCATTCTTTCCTGATTTGTTTGTAATACTTGGGGTGCAATCCCCGTTTTTTTCCCTCCCAAATTTTCCTTCAGATTCTTTCACCTTCTTTGCTTAATTCATTCTCTCTGATCTTGTAACTTGTCATTAAAGATACATTAATGAAAGTGAGTTCATTACAATCACTGTTCCATTGATTATTTGCTGAGATTTTGTTCCCATTTGAATTTGATTCATTTTAAATTGCTGCAATTCGGGTTTCTGTACCATAACATTCTGTCTCTTTGTTCTACTGCTTCTAATAATTAGGCAGCAAGAACATAAATATAAAAATGGCCAAGCAATGGAGAAGAGGTAAATATTGCAAAATCTATACCATGACCCTCTAATTATTGATGTGATTATAAATTATACCCTCAGCTTATACAAAATTTTTAACTTAGGCAGAAAGGCTTGGTATTGGGGACTTAGGTAGTGCACACCTGTGTATGGGCTTTAGTTGTAGCATTACCAAGTATTCAAGGTTTTTTGCAGAGAAAAATAGCCATGGAAACTATGACCTGAACATGAGAAGAAAAGCCATGAGGTACCAAAAAAAAAAAACCTTTCTTTATCAGGAAACTTTAATACTGTTAAATGCAGAGGTAGAGACAATTTAAAATTCAAGTCGCGGCCCCAATAATTCGTGACCAGTTTTATTATAAGATATATATTAGCGGATTTAGCCATTAAAATATCGTCCAGCGGCGAAAATGATAGTATGATCAGCTGCCGCAAACGATAACTGATTATCCCTTGCTGGATGTAAAGCGTTCCAGGCTAAAGAAAAAGTTGTTCAAAGAATTTGACAGGACTTCCATATTGGGGGACAATTTGGAAATAAATTACTCATAACCATACTTACGCATGATGTCAATAGCACATATAATTTCTTTTTTCGGTACAATGGAGGGGCCTGAGGACGGTTAAACCGCAACTTAGCAGATATTAATTTCGAATGTCTCGAAAGCAAAAGGCAACAAAATGTCAATAATTGAGTAATTTAAAATTCATTTACAGTGAATTTCAAAATATCAATAATTGAGATGATTCAATCATGTAGACAGCCTTGCAATTATTCTTACGATTGGCTATTTTTTAATTCTCTCTCACATGATCTTTAGGATATATGCTTATTAATCTTTGAGTTCCTATCAAGAAATTCTGCATCGATGTCTATCCACTCCCTTCTTTGTTAACTACTACTACTGAAGTATATCAAGCGGAGTCATAGCCATTTGCAAACTTCAAGCTCAGCTTTCAGAGATGGATTCCAGATTTGCTTCTTTGATTCTCTTCCTTCATCTGTTGTTTCTGCTGGTAACATAAAACATGCTACAACATTTTCTTAAATTATTCTACTTCATTTGCCAGTCTGCTAGCTAATATGAATATGCGCCTTAAATTTGCCCAAGTTTTTTTGACGTGGTAGGTTCTCTAACTGTGAGATGGTAATATACCTAGTCTAATTGTTACATCGTTTCCTGTCGGATTTCTACTGTGTTCTAGGAATTTGAGCCCAAAATTCTGATTTCGTTGAGAAAGAAGCAAAGGAAAAATTGATAATGTCCTTGTACATGTGCTCAATTTCGATTGATTTTTTTTTTGTTCCCCTGCTTCATCATTTGGTGTCGCTTTGCTGTTAACATATGCTTGAAAAACTGAATTGATACTTACTGTAAAAATATTTCCAAGTTCTACAGTCTAGCGGAGTTGCTGGGGTACAGGACAATCAATTCTGGATATATGACAAGAAAGATGACAGCACAATTGGCAATCAATTGAGGGCTATAGATAAGAAAATTGATGCAGTGGATAATCAGGCGTGGATCTATGACGGAAAAAGTGGTGGAGTCGACAAGCAGCTGTGGATCTACGATGGGACAAATGAGGCAGTAGATAATCAGGCATGGATCTATGATAGGAGATATGATGGAGTGGCCAAACAGCTGTGGATCTTCAATGGGATAAATGATGCAGTGGACAAACAGGTGTGGATCTATGACAGGAAAAATGATGCAGTTGGTAATCAGGAGATACATGATAAACATAATGGTGATAATCAGGAGATACACAATGGAATAAATGATGCAATGGACTATGACAGAAAAATTAATGCAGTTGGTAATCAAGCATGGATATACGATAAGCATAATGGTGGCAATCAGGACATAACAGGGACAGGACATACATCATCCCACCTATATCATACGGATCCAACAGGACACACATCATCCCACTTAGATCATATGGATCCAACACTCTTAGGTTTCTTCAGATTGGAGGATTTAAAGGTAGGAAAAACAATGTTCACCAAATTCCCCAAAACAGATCCCTTGTCATCTCTTGTATTGCTGCCCAAAGCAAAAGCAGACAAAATTCCTTTTTCCTCAGTGGAATTCCCAAAACTTCTTCAATTCTTTCCCTTCTCTCAAGAATCTCCCCAGGCCAAAGCCATGGAAGATACGCTAAGAAAATGTGAAGCTAAGCCCATTAAAGGAGAGAAGAAATTTTGTTCTACATCCTTTGAGTCCATGCTTAATTTTGCCAGAGGGACACTTGGGTTGCAAAAAAACGTCAATATTCTGTCAACAGTTCACCTCACGAGATCAGTTGCCGGACTACAAAAGTACACAATAATTAAAGTTCCTGTACGAATTTCAGCACCAAAGATGGTGGCATGTCATACCATGCCTTACCCTTATACAGTTTTCTATTGTCACTCTCAAGAAAGTGAGAGTCGCGTGTATAAAGGTTCCCTGAATGGTGAAAATGGTGACAGGGTTGAAGCTATTGCTGTTTGTCACATGGATACCTCTCATTGGAGCCCTGATCACATCTCCTTCCGTGTGCTTGGAATTGAACGAGGAACTTCCCCTGTTTGTCATTTCTTTGCTGCAAATCACCTTGTGTTGGTTCCATCTACTTCAGTTTAGTCCAGAAGTTGTGCTTAAGTTGTTTGCCGTGTGGTGTTATAATTTGTTTGGTTGTGATATCAAAAGTTTCATTTTACCAACTCAAAAGGCCAGTCCTGTTGAGGTTCAATTCGACTAGCATGATGTAATATGTACAAACAGATGCATATGATGGAAATTTGAAAAGAAGATGCACTTGTCTTTTTGAAACTAGATTTTAAACGAGAAATTGCCTAATTTTGAAAGAAAAGTCATCATGCTAAGCAATCTCAATTTGTAACCTTAACCAGCAAACTGGAGTTAAAGCTTAAGGACGCCAAAGCTTTTATGTACTCCAAATATGATCAATTTCAAGCACCAGATGCGAAACCAGTAAACTGTTGTGCAAAAAAAAAAAATGAGAAGAAAAGAGAAAAGTTAAACCGCATAGTTAAGAGAGCAGGCAATCAAAAATTTTAAATGTTCATAAGCAGCTGCACGGGTTTATTAGACTATTTCTTTCATTTTCTTATTGAATTCTATGTAAACTACATTTCATGCATCTGTTGCATACATACACCACTCAAGGAGGCTAACTAATTATTAGCTGTTTCTTTATCTCTTTTAAATACAGAAACATCTACTTCTTTGACAGGAGATTTCTCTCCTAGACAATAAACTTGGCTGGTGAGATATATCATAGCGCAAAGTACATTTTACTCCCTGTGGTTTAGTATTTTTTATATAACCCTCCTATGATTTCAAAAGTTATACATAATGGTTTGGATTAAGTGTTAAAATGACGGAAATAGTCATTCATAATGGAGTCACCTAAAACATTAAAAATAACCTTATGTAAAGTTGAAAATTATTTATTAATCAAAGGGAGTTATGTATATATTTTGAAAATCATAGGCGAGTTATATGATAAAACATTAAATCATAAGAGGTTTATATGATAAAACAAAAAAATTATACGGGGTTCGTGTATCATATATTTATAAGGGTAATTTCGACATTTTTAAAAGTTTCATTACAAATGACTATTTCCGTCATTTGAATATTTTAATCCAAATCATGAGGGGGTTATGTAAAGTTTTTAAAATTATAGAAGGGTTATGTAAAAAAAAATACTAAACCATATAAAGGTAAATTGTAATGCCCTAGATTATAACATTTGCCCTAGTATCAAAATTCTTGATGAATTGCTGTTGGTCAGACTGAGACCGAGTAGTTTGAGGAATGAAGTCCTTAACCACTTAGAGGCATGGCTTCGCCTTTCATGATGTGTTCCAATACTTCGGTGGGTCCTTTCTTGCAGTGCTGAGAGTAGCAGTGCTGGCAACCTGAGACAGATGATATACAAGATAAGAAAAGCTCACAGGTCATGCTAACAAAAAACACTAGCATATCTACCCGGAGATAATCGTGTGGAAGATCTCAACAGAACTAATGCTTGGGGTGCCCAGCTAGTGATGGATAAGATCAAAATGCATACTAAAAAAAAAATGAGAAGAAGAACAAGGGGGGCATGGATATGTCTCATCATATCTTTGATCCTATTTTGCTTCTGGGCCAAAATTTCTTTTGCTGTGTCCTTTGCTGAAAAAAGTGTTGTGGTTGCTTTCTTTTGAACATTGCTTGTACTAGTTACCACGTGTAAAATTCTTGAAGAAGCAGATCGTTAGCTCTCTCTCATTTTTTTTTCCGAAACGGAATTAACACACACACACAAACAATGAACACACGCAGAGGAATGCATCGAACACACCGACCCAAACGAACAATCTAAGGTAGGATCCACGAGAAACATCCATCCAGCCAATTAGCTCTCTCTCGTTAGCTCACACACACACAAACACGAGGAATTAGCTCTCTCTCATTAGCTCACGGGTTGTCTTGTTCTTCTCACCATTTTCGATGGCATCATATGCTGGCCATACCGATTCTTTCTTCTTTTTTTAATTATTACTATTATTATATTTATTTTTTGTTAGGACAACTTATATTGATTCACTTCATTTTCTGGAGAAGAATTTATACACTTGTTTAATATCTTCTACATATGTTAGATAAGTTTGTAGCTCAGACATTCAAATTATATCGAATTATCACCCAGCAACTGCAAATGGAACAAGTAGCAGCAAAAAAGATGTGTCGCCCGTAATTTAGACTTTACGAATTATGCAAATAAATTGAGAAAATTTGTGTTCACATTTTTATTGAGAGTTTGTAGAGAGTAAGAAAGACCGAGAGACTAGATGGAATAGATAAGAAAGAGTGTTAGGAGAAGAAGAAAGAAAGGAAGGTGTAGTGCCCTGTTTTGCTGCTGCAATTTTGTTGTTAAGAAAAGAGTGAGAGAAGTTGCAAGATATCAAGAAGGGAGGGACGCAGGAGCATCACGTAGCCATGTGCACAGATTTAGACAAGGGAACATAAACAAGAGGAGCAAGCTAGAGGCTGATGGGGCTGCGGATAGCTTCAAACCGTGAGGAGTGTTCTCCACTTGAGGTGAGAGATTTTTGACAAATCTGCTATGTAATTAGTATATTATTGTTTATAAGTGTCTATATATGAGTTCTTGATGAAATCGTGGGAATTCTAAGTCAATTAGCCGTATAACATCCATGAATCAAACATTGGATTCGGAACCATTGTAGCTGCCGAAGCTGCAGTCAGCTTTGAGTTGTTGTCGGAATTAAACTGTAATATGGTGTAGAAATATTAGAATTGAACTCCGTCTGTTTTGGATGAAACGACATTATTTGGCCTTCTTTCAGTATGAATATTGCACGCCAGTTCTACGTATAAATGATTTGGTGCAGCTCCGAAATTAGCTGAAAATCAGCTCTGGCGCAGTTGTTCAGCTCCTGCTTTGATGTTGCCTTGTCTTCGTTACCCTCAAATAGGTTTTGATCATAATTTGGGAATGCATTCTCCACGAGATATTTAGTACTTTAACTGGAGTTTCCATTGCTACAATTTGCAGAGCTCAAGATATGATAAGTTGAAAAGCAAAACCGGACCAGCCTGATAAAGGTTTGACAGCAGGCTTCTCTGGATTAGGGATGTAATCGATCCGAGTTGCTCGCGAGTAGCTCAATCAATAACTTGACTTGAAATTGGTTGATTGAGTTTGAGTAGCTCGATTGGTCAATCTAATTGAGTTCGAGTATTCAACAGCAAGGTTAAAGGCTGGTTGAGCCTTATTGAGTTTTTTTTTTAATTTTCAATTTTTAAAATATTATTATTCTGAAATTACTCTTATGCCCACAAGAGTGCTTGAATTTATGATATGTTAGTCTTCGTGTGAATTTTTTGAAGGGTGGAAATGTCTTTTCACTCCAAAAATTGTCCTGAAAAATGAAATCCCCTATTGAAGCAGCAACCCATTCGATTAGGGTAATTCCAATTTCCAACTTTCCATTCAATTCTCTAGCTTCGATTCTACATCTCCAATTAGGGCTTCTAAGATCTGCAATATTCTCCATTCTCCATATCCGATTGAATCAATATCCCCAATTCCTCTCCATTCTCAAAACCTACTAAGGACAAAAAAGAGAGAGAGGGACTGTCGAAGCTGGGCTTGGTCTGAGAGCTTACTATCGGAGTTGGTCCAAGAGCTTGTTGTTAGAGCTTGCAATGAAGCGGAGCGGAGAGCTTGCAGCTGGAGCTGGAGAAGTGAAGAACAATGTTTTAAAAACCGGACCGTTAATTGAACCGGTGAAGTGAAAGGGTCGAGGTTCAACCGGTCGGACCGGTTCAACCTCGGTTCAATGAATTTTTTAAAAAATAATTTATATAAATATATATATGTACAAAATAAGACATGTAATGGACTAATTTAATATTTTATATGATGAAAAGTTTACTATTTTTTAATAACTTGGATTTTTAAAAATAAATTTTTTAAATTATAAGTTAAAACAAATAAATTTCATCTCAATTTCAATTATATCTAAATCCAACCCCAAAATATCACAATATTTTGAAATTATACAAAATTCATGTATCTGAGAATTTAGATATTATGAATTTTAATTTTAATTTACGTTTTGAGATTTAGATATTGCAATTTAAAAAAGAAAATTTGGAATTCGAAGGAAATCAAGAAAATCGAAAATAGAAATGTAAACTTGATAAGAAACAAAAAATAAGATAAAAGTGAGTGGTTGTGGCATTAAATAATTTGGGTTAAAAAAAATTCTTTTTTAACTTTTTTCAATTTAATGGACAAAAACAAAATTAAAAGATGGAAGAAAACATTAATAAATTAAAAATAAAGAGGTTTGATTAAAAAGGGAGTGACAAAAGAAAAGATGATAGAGAGAGAGAGAGAGAGAGAGATGAAAATTAAAAAGAAAGAGCCATGAGGGGATGAGATTTTGTAAGAAAAATGGAAAAAAGAAATATGAGTATTTGCTTTATATAAATAAGTTATCAAAAAAAACTAATAAGATGTGATGGTGCAACGGTTAATACATTGGTCTTTTATTACAAAGGTCTTGGGTTCGAATCTTGATTGTTGCATTTTGCAAAACTTTTTTAAAAAAAAAAAAAAAAGGAAAGTTGAAAACCGGAAAACCGCCGGTTCAATCCGGTTCGGCGGTTTTCACGGTTCAACCGGTCTTTGCCCGGGTTTCTAGCAAAGTCAACAATGTCATTGAACCGGACCGGTGCCATGGCCGGTTCGCGGTTCAACCGGTCGAACCGGCCGGTCTGGTCCGGTTTTCAAAACATTGGTGAAGAACAAAACCTCGGACTGTGAGAACAGTAGTTGAGACTTGAGACTCGTTAAGAGTTAAGACCTGGACTAGTGAGCTTGTTTGAAGGCTGGTGAACTTCTAATAGTGTTTGCTCATTGGTAGAACTTTTAACAAGCCGAATGGAGTTGAATAATTGGTGTTCAGTCTCTATTTGTATATTATATGGACAGGATTCGAGTGCGATTCGAATATTAACAAATTATAAATATTGGTTAAATTTGATTCATATATTTGTATATATATTCGAGCTTGACTCATTAAATTATTCGAGCCAAATTCGACTTCGAACTCAAGATCAAATTTGATTTTGAAGATGATTTAATTATATTTTGAATAAATAATACCTTATTGAGAAAAATTTTAATTGTATTTATTGATTTTTAAAAAATAAATTATGCTAATTTATATATAATTACTTTTTTAGTAAAATATAATATATATGTT